GGATGTTAAGGATTTTTGCCCTATTAGCTTGGTGGGTTGCTTTTACAAGTTGATTGCAAAAGTCTTGGCATCTAGGTTGAGGAAGGTTATGGATGGTGTCATTTTTGACTCTCATAATGCCTTTGTTGGAGGTCGCCAAATTTTGGATTTGGTTCTTATTGCTAGTGAATGTGTGGACTCTAGATTGAGTAGTGGGGTTCCGGGTGTTTTGTTCAAGCTGGATATTGAGAAGGCGTGCGACCATGTGAGTTGGAACTTCCTCCTCTACTTATTGGAGAGGATGGAGTTTGGTGAGTGATGGAGGAGATGGACCCAGTTTTGTATTTCTAGTGCTTGTTTCTCAGTCCTTGTGAATGGTGCTCCGTCGGGGTTTTTCGCTAGTTTGAGGGGCTTGAGACAAGGGGATCCGCTTTCCCCTTTCCTATTCCTTTTTGTGATGGAGACTCTTAGTAGACTGCTGAAGAGGGCCGTCGAGTTGGGATTTTTGAGAGGATTTCAGGTGGGCAGAGATGTTGCTAGTTAGTTGGAAATTTCCCATTTGATGTTTGCGGATGATACTTTAGTTCTTTGTGATGCAGATGCATCCCAACTGAGATACTTGAGATGCGTTTTGGTTTGGTTCCAAGTTGTTTTTGGGCTTAAGGTGAATGTTGGAAAGAGCGTTCTGGTTCCGGTTGGGGAGGTTCCTGAAATCGAGATGTTTGCTCAGATTCTTGGATGTCACACTGGCTCTTTCCCCATTTCTTACTTAGGGTTGCCTCTGGAAGCCCCTTCGAGATGTGTGAGATGCTGGGACCCGGTTGTGGATAGATTTGAGAAGAGACTGGCAAGTTCGAAGAAGCAGTATCTCTCTAAGGGGAGGAAGGTCACTCTGATCAAGAGCACCCTTTCTAGCCTCCCCACTTATTTCATCTCTCTCTTTTAGATTCCTTCTTTTGTGGCTTAGAGTATTGAGAGGAATTCAAGTACCATCTGGTTCGTTGGGAGTAGGTGTGTTGTCCAATTCGATGTGGAGGGTTAGGGATTAGGAGGTTATTGCCTTTCAATAAGGCTCTCCTCGAGAAATGGCTTTGGAGGTTTGGGGTTGAGAGGCATTGGCTTTGGAGGAGAGTTATCGCGAGCAAATTTGGGGAGAGCATCGGTGGGTGGAGTTCTCTTGAGATGCGTGGTCCTAGGGGGGTGGGGGTTTGGACCAGGGTTTGGACCTTTATTCAGAAGGGGTGGGATGATTTTTGCAAACATGTTCGCTTTCGGATCAGGGATGGAATGAGGATTAGATTTTGGGAGGATGTTTGGTGTGGGGAGCTTTCTCTTGCTCTCTCTTTCCCAAGGCTCTTCAGGATTGCTTTTCATAGACAGGCCATGGTGACTGACTGTTATCATCTTGATAACGGAAGACTGACTTAGGATGTTCAGTTTAGGAGGCACTTTCAGGACTGGGAGATTGAAGACGTTTCTCGTTTGTTTGAGGTTTTGTATCGCCAGGTGATCACAGTTGGGGATTCTGATGGATGGCTTTGGGATCCTAACTCTCAGGGTCGGTTCGAGGTTAGGTTTTTTTCCAGGTCTCTCACGGTTGATGCTGGGGGCCCCTTCCCTTGGAAGTCTATTTGGCGTTCCAAGGCCCCCCTCAAAGTGGCCTTCTTTGCTTGGACTTCTGTCTTGGGTAGGATCTTAACCGAAGATAATTTGAGGAGGAGGAATCAGGTGGTAGTCAACCGTTGTTACTTGTGCTTGCGTGATGAGGAGACAATTAATCATCTTCTGTTACATTGCAGTTTGGCCAGAGACTGTTGGTTTTGATGCTTGGTTTGTTTGGGGTTCCCTAGGTTATGCCTTGTTCCTCTAGAGGGTTGATTGAGGCTTGGAGAGGTTTCTCAGTTGGGGCTCATATTCGGGATGCTTGGAGGGCTACTCCTCTTTATATTTGGTGGTGCATTTGGCTGGAGAGAAATCGGAGATATTTCGATGGAAAAGAGAAGCCTGTCTCTATGCTTAAGTTCTTTATTATTTTCACTTTTTTTTGTTGGGTTTCAGGGAGAGATTATAGATCTTTAGAGGAGATTGTTGTTTTTTTGCCCTCTTTGAAGGCTTGAGGCCTTTTTTTGGCCTTTTTGTTTCTTTGGGATCCGCTCCCCTTTTGAGCGTTTGTTTTAAAATTTTTACTTATAAAAAAAAAATCTTCATTTGGTCAAAGTATATTTAAATGTTAAATTTCTGTTAAGAATAGTTAAAAAGATTTCAAGAACTATTCACCCACTCCATCCTTCTCGGTCTAGTTCATACATGTGCGTACTTTGACTATCAGAATCTAGCGTTACAGTCTGATTCCTCAATCTCAAGTGAGCGATGATATCCAGATACTTGTATAGAGAGGTGTTTGGACCCCTATTTTGGGGTATTCCCTTAGCATCTGAAATGTTGGCAAGGGTTTCTCGGTGCTATTTGTGACTTGTTTAGACTGCCGGTGTGTTCGGTAGTACTATTCTTCTCCTTTGCCGTGTCTCCGGCAGTTTGTATTGATTTGTTTGGGTTGCCGGTTTGTTAGGTAGCATTGTCTTCTCTTTTGCCGTGTCTCCTGCAATTTTTGTTTGATTTGTTTGGGCTGCCGGTGCCGGTGTGTTCGGTAGCATTGTTTTCGCCTTTGCTGTGTCTCCGACAATTTTTGTTTGACTTGTTTGTGCTGCCGGTGTGTTCGGTAGCACTGTTCTTTGCCTTCCCTCATCTCTCTTCATCATTCACACGTGTTGTTACTCGTCCTCTCAATGGAAAGTTGGGCATTTATGCTCCAACTTGTGGGGGAGTATTGAAGATTTAATGGAGGAATCAGTGGAGGAAAGTCTTTCAGTAATTGATGTTGTTTCCTATTATTAAAGATTCGGTGTTGCTAGAGGAATCAGTGGAGAAAAATACTCCGTGTTTCCTATTTTCTAATTCTTTCCATTCTCATAATTTCTTTCGGTGTTGCTAGAGGAATCAGTGGAGAAAAATACTCCGTGTTACCTATTTTCTAATTCTTTCCACTCTCATAATTTCTTCTCCTATATAAAGGAGCCTCCACCATTGTATTGTCTATGAGTTGAGAGCTTTTCTATTTGTTTTATTTATCTCTTCACTTCCGTTTTATGCTTTACAACAGGTCCAATGTTGGAAGCCTAGTTTGTTAAACTTGAGAAAACGAATTTGAGTCTCAGGCTCACTTTGTGAAAACGTGCATGAGGTTGCAATAACTAGTCTACCCTACTTGAAACCCACATTGAAACAACATAGTACAATGACATTTGCTTCATTTTCAAATATAATCACTTTAACAATGTGAGAAACCTTTAGTAAAAAGGACATGAAACTTAAGATTTGAGTCATAAAATTTTCAAGAAAATGTATTCTTCCAGATTGAACTATAATTAAAATATCTCCACGTATTAGATGTAACAATTCTCCCTTGTGTCGTCATGAGCATCAACATATAGTTCACCATCTCTCTCTCCCCTAAGGAGCACAAAATACCTGACAAACTGTACGAGTCTCCCTAGATACTCCCAGAACATGATATCTTATATCTCACACAGCGACTGTAATAGTTCTTTATCATATGTGAGAGGCAAAATTTGTATGAGCAGCACCGATTTTGCATTACTTCAGTATTAGAAAGTTCTTGAATTCTTACGGGTATTTTCGTGGGTAATGCAGTCTTTTCTGAGTTAATTTTTTTCAGTTTAAGGGCTCAATCCATAATTTTTTCTGTTTGATGCCTAACTTTTTAATTCATCTTAACCAATTTGGCTTTAGAGATAAAAGCAAAGAAATGTTGGTAGCAAATGGGTTATAAAAATTATAAAGTTATGAAGAATACTTAACAAATGACATTTGGGGTGTTTCTGTGATGAAGTTTAAGTGGCCAGTACTTGAATGCAATCTGTATCTATATGTATGTGAGCTTTACATTCTGGTCCATTTTCATATCTCATTATTTTTTATTGTTGTAGTGATACGTGAAAGGAGTAGCATCACCTTCTTTTTAGAATTTAAAGAACCATTCGTGTTAAAAAATATATATATATATAACTGCCATAGTCATGCATTCAATTGCCATTTTCCTCCTTCGGTCCTTTTTATGCATTGATAGTACACCAGTATAGGCCACTGTAAAGTTCTTCTCTGGGTCCAAATAGCATATCTTTTAAGAGAAAAAAAGTGGGTGGAGATGAAGTTGAGTTTATGATCAAAATTCAATTAATGGAGGAGAAATTTCCCTATGTATGGCTCCATCAAAGCTTCCCATTCTAGTGTAATTCCCACATCATCTGTACTATATGGAAAATCTAGCAAACCTTCTCTCTTTGTGAATGACTCTCGTACCAATTTTATCTTTCTGGATGGGCTATGGTCACGCCGTCAGGCGCACTGCATTTGCACCACCCAGTTTTGTAAAAGAAGAAACAGTTATTCAAATATTGTTTTTAACTGTCAAAAATAACGCTGTGAATGCCACCTGAAGTGGAAGTTTCTATAAGTTACTTGTCTACCATCACTTCCAGTAGAATGGGAAAAATTATTGTGAAAACCACAGATCATGATTGAAGGGGAATTTACTACTGTCAAAAACATTGAATATGATGATAATCTTTTTCCCTAAGCAGTAAGATGTTGACCAATTCGAAAGATCATTCGATGTAGTTGAAATAACTGAGATTTTTCTTGTTCTTTCTAACAATATTTTCATGAGAAGCTGTTAATGCTAATGTAAACTAGATGTTACTAAACAGATGCACTGTTAGTATGAAAGCTAAATTCCATTAGTTTACTCTCCTCTGAAACCTCTTAAAACATAAAAGTTGTATTACAATTTGTGATGTTGGGACGCTTAACTGATTGGATTTCTTATGGACATGAGTTACACTTTCTCATGGGCTCGCATTTTTTTTACTCCATGTGAAGTTATAGTATTTCAAAGTATGTTATAATGAGTTCTGGTTTTGACCGATGATTTCCTTCCACAGGATCTGTATAGAAACATCCTACGAGAGGGTCATTTTGTGTCTGGTGCACCTGCCAACTTCATTGCTGGTGCTGCAGCAGGTTGTACGACATTGATCATCATCTACCCTCTTGATATTGCACACACCCGCCTTGCCGCTGACCTTGGGAGAAATGAGGCTCGTCAATTCCGAGGAATCTGGCACTTCCTGAGTACCATATGCAAGAAAGAGGGAATTAAAGGTGTTTACAGAGGACTTCCCGCCTCTCTGCAAGGGATGATTATTCACAGGGGCCTTTACTTCGGTGGTTTCGATACCATAAAAGAGAAGATGTCAGAAGAATCTCAACCAGAGTTGGCATTGTGGAAGCGCTGGCTGGTGGCTCAGGCTGTCACAACATCTGCCGGATTGTTGTCATATCCACTGGATACAGTTCGGAGGCGGATGATGATGCAATCTGGCTTAGAACAGCCAATGTACCGAAGCACTCTGGAGTGCTGGAGGAAAATTTATAGGACAGAGGGCGTTGCTTCATTTTACCGCGGGGCTCTTTCAAATGTGTTTAGGAGTACTGGTGCTGCTGCAATTTTGGTTTTGTACGACGAGGTGAAGAAGTTTATGGATTGGGGGGGATTGTAGCAGGAAATTATTTTGTTGGCCAGTTTGTTCATTCAACAAAAAGGATTTAGAGTAGAACGAGACAATGTCACGGCAACAAAAATCTTGTAGCAGTGAAGGTGAGTTTGATACGAGTTATTATGTTTACACCTTGATTTTTGTTAACGAATAAAAGGAATTTAGTTAGATGTTTTGGTCATATTCTTTGGCCATGAAATTGGATTTATTCGAAGCAATGAAATGCAAAATGGTATACTTTATTCCTTGTTTATCTATATGGTTGTCACGGTTTGTTATTCCATGTCGGATAGGGATGTGGTGGGTCAGCATTACCTAACGGTTTAAGTTTTTAAGTCAGATTGCAAATGTAAGACATGTTTTGAGGAAAACATGTCTTACATTTGCAATCTGACTTAAAAACTTAAACCGTTAGGTAATGCTGACCCACCACATCCCTATATATATATATATATATATATATATATATATAAGGTAGCAGAGTATTTGTTGTCAAATGCTAATCCCACATATGATGTGGATGGTACACAAACACTTGGTTAACTTATGTAAAACATGTCTTACATTTGCAATCTGACTTAAAAACTTAAACCGTTAGGTAATGCTGACCCACCACATCCCTATATATATATATATATATATATATATATAAGGTAGCAGAGTATTTGTTGTCAAATGCTAATCCCACATATGATGTGGATGGTACACAAACACTTGGTTAACTTATGTAGGCTTGGGTTGATCTATTATGATGTTTATAGACAACAAGATGGAGTTTTTTAGCAAAAGGCATAATAATTTGTGAAAGATAATGTTCTAAATATCAACTTGTTTTGGACACGTACACTTTTATACTTAGATGTCAATGACAAGTGGGAGGTGAGAGAACTTTTTGGTAATGAAGTTTTGATCACTTGGTTTTCATACAACATGTCAAATAATTGATATATGGTATTACAAACTCACTTTAAAGATATTTTCCATTTATCAATTACTTCATTTATGATTGTATTTGCTTTTAATATTGGAGGTTAATCTCTAAATTCAATACAAGTTAGAATATTTTAATTTATTTCATTTAATCTAAAATTCAATGATGATGATGATAATACATTGATTAAACTATTAAAGGTGGATTGGTGCAAAAAGGGTCAATATTTAAGAAGTGGGCTTGGCCTCACAGTTCCAAGTTTGTGCTGCTGTGCTCAACCCACCATCCACTGAGACATGCTAATTGCTTTTGGTGCTTTTGTGGAACAAAGTGACATTGATTTGACTAATTTAACTTGTTTCTAAAATGAAAAGAGTGTTCCTCCAAATTGCAATAAATATAATTGAGAAAAAGAGTTTGGCTCTAAAAATATTGGCGGTTAAATAATAAGAAGTGTGATTTGTGGGCGATAATATATATTCGAGATGAAAAGTTCTAAACTTAAGGGACAACAATAGCGACAGTGGGCTCAGACTAATACCCAGTGATCTTTGAAACACAAAATTGTAAGATATCTTGGATGAACCGTGCTACACTCGTCCAGAGTCGACAACTGACTCAGAGACCTGAGATGTCTTTCTAAAATGAAAAGAGTGTCCCTCAAAATTGCAATAAATCTGATTGAGGAAAATAAGTATGCCTCCAAAAATATTAGCGGGTTAAATAATATGTGTGATTTGTGGGCGATAATATACATTTAAGATGAAAAATTCTAAATTTGTTGACAATCGACTGAAATACGTGAACTGTAGATTATTATAGCAGGCTTCATATTCATATTTCTAAATCAGTTGTTGACTTTTGACAAGTGTAGCATAATTCATGTGAGATTTACCTTGCAATTACATATAATAAAATATCACTAGGTTAAAACACACGCGCGCGCGAAGGTCATTGACCCCAAAAATGATCTGGGGAAGGTGCTAACTGGTGATGATCTCAACTCAATTGTGTTCAAACCAAAGTTACCAAACACCCCCCAAAATAGGTGAAATTTATTATATTAAAAGTGGAAACACCATGAAGAAGCCAAAGCAACCATGACTTCATCAGCTCTAACAAAAAGCAAAGAGGAATATATACATACATACATATATATATATATATATATATATATATATATATATAAAGTACTTGTGTGTGTATTAAACACATATAAAGTAGTTTGGGAAGCTTTTGGAACCTTGGATCAAGTTTTTGGACAAAATGTGAACCAAACCTTACCATTAAGGAACTTGGAGTGGGGTACATGGGTGGCACAATTCTCTTGCTTTTCTTAGAATAATGCATTTTACTATTCACTTTGCATTATTAATTGTTGAATGTGCTTTTGTAGGTGTCTTTTTGAAAGATTCACTAGCAGATTCTTCTAAGGTTAGGGCTGTAAAGATTCTAATGGGTCTGTGACATGGTAGGTTTTAATCACCCCTCTATATGTTTGCCACGTGTAATTCCAATATATTTGACACACACTCTTTAGATTGTGGTTGAAGTTGCACAGCTGCTCAAATATATACTATATACTATATATATATAGTTGCATTATTTTTTGTGTTTTTTTGTTTTTTTTAAATGTTACTACTATATAGTTGCTGTTGCTATCATCACTAGGCTGTCTTTTCCAAAAGAAAAGGAAAACACCATTGACATGAAGTGGGGTCTAAGCTCTATCCCCAATAATGGCCTTTCCCATCCCATCATATTTTTCCTTAAAATGGAAAAGATCTTCAAAGTGAGTTTGCATACCATATACTACCAACAATAAATTCCAAACATCTTTCTTTGTAAGTAGTAACTTTTATATATATATATATATATATTTCTTCCATCCCAAAATAGATGATCGCTCTGAAAATTATTGAGTTTGCATACCATATACCACCAACAATAAATTTCAACATTTTTTTTTTCATAAATAGTAACTTGTATATATATATATATACACACACTTCCTCTGTTTCAAAATAAATGACCGTTGAAACGGAAAGGGTATATATATTTGAACATATAATAGACCATAAATCATTCACATGTAACTTATCACAATCGTTTACTGTTGTACAACATTATGTTGTTACAATACAAAATTAGAGTACTATAGATTCATATCTTCTCACTGTACACGTATAAGTGATCATAGTCGTTCACTTGTTGTACAGTATAAAAATATTTGCTATAGATCTATAACTTCTCATCGTGATTGATCATACTCGTGCACTATCGTATAACACTATACTATTAGAGTAAAAAATGAGTGCTATAGATACATAACTTCTCATCGTGCACGTATAAGTGATTACATTCGTTCAATGTTGTACATCAAAAAATATCAACTATAGATTTATAACTTTACATCTCGAGTGATCATAGTTGTTCACTATTGTATAGCACTATGCTATTACAATAGAAAATGTGGGCTATAGATACATAACTTCTCATCGTACACGTATAAGTGATCACATTCATTCATTGTTGTACATAAAAAAATATCTGCTATAGATTCATGACTTCTCATCTTGAGTGATCATAGTCGTTCACTATTGTATAGCACTATGCTGCTATTACGGTAAAAAATGTGTGCTATAGATATATAACTTCTCATCGTACGCGTATAAGTGGTTACAGTCATTCACTGTTGTACAATAATTAAAAAAAAAAAAAAAATCTTTGTTATAGATTCATAACTTCTCATCTCGAGTGATCGATCACAATCGTTCACTATTGTATAACACTATGCTATTACAGTAGAAAATGTGCGTTATAGATACATAACTTCTCATCATACACGTATAAGTGATCACATTTGTTCACTGTTGTACATAAAAAAATATCTGCTATAGATTCATAACTTCTCATCTTAAGTGATCACAGTCGTTCACTATTGTATAGCACTATGCTATTACAGTAGAAAATGTATGCTATAAATACATAACTTTTCATCTTACATGTATAAGTGATCACAATCGTTCACTGTTGTACAATAAAAAAATCTCTGTTATAGATCCATAACTTCTCATCTTGAGTGATCACAATGCATTACTATGCTATTACAATAGAAAATTTGTGCTATAGATCCGTAACTTCTAACCGGATACATGTTTTTCTATGGTCTCACACATATTTTCCATGTATGAGTAAATATAGTCATTTTTATTAAGTATATAATAAATATATGTATATATAAATGTGCATGATCGAGCATTCTTTTCTTAACCTTTTTAGTAATACTATCATAGATTATTCTTTTTTGATTATTATATTTGATTCATCAAAAATAAAAATAGGTTAGTGTATCTAAACATGTTTGTCATTGTCAGGTAGTTAAAGGTGTAGCCACACCATGACACTCCTGAGCATTGTCTCATGGCATGATGACAAAATTTGGGTTTCACTCACAAATGATATACAAACTTTATTTGAGTTCCCTAAAACCACCACAAGACAATTTCACACACGCACACACACGCACAAAATGAAAATTTAAGATTGAATTAAAGATTATCAAATTAAACAAAAGAGTGTAAATCCTCATATGAAATGATGGATCGTGATATTTTTCAATTACAAAAATTTTATTAGAAATATAATAATCACAACAGGCTAAATTTTTAAGTAAATCAAGCATGAAATAAACAAAATAGTTGGAATTAATTATTTATAAATTTGACAGTCAAAAAAGTAATTTGTGCTAAAGGAAAAGGACTATAAAGGACTTGTGATTCAGAAATAGCTTCAAACTTCACTTATAATAATTAAGAATATTCTTGTTGGGATATTTATGAACCTAAAATAATTCTAAGAATTATATATGATTGTGAATTATAAGAATATTACAGTTGAGTTGAGTGTATTGCATGGTGTGTGTGCGTGTGTGACAATTAACAAAAATAAATAAATAAATAAATAAAATTACCCTATATTTTTCATGATGGCAAAGAATATCACTCTAGATTTGCAAGATCAACAAAATAGTATTTACAAAATATAATAGTTAAAATTGTAATTTCAAGATTGTTAGTAAAAATAAAATGAAGAACCATATGATATAAAATGCCATTACTGTCGAAGGGACAAAAATTGGAAGGAAATTTATTAATGCCAACTAAAATCATAGCCATTCATTAAGTGGAACCCACATAAGAAATCAACAGATTCCACGGTTCTGAGCACTCCATAACCTACACCTGATGCACACGTGTGCACGACATCTAATAGTACTACTGTACTAGCAAACCAAAAATAGAAAAAAAAAAAAAAAAAGAAGTTATTTTTTGTTTTTCCTAATAATTTTTTTTTCTTACAATTACAATAATATCCCAGATAAATAAGGAAATTCCAAAACAATAATTTGATCATACCCAGAGAGCACCAACTTCTACGAGCTTGGGGACAAGGTGACCGCTGAGGTGGAGTGCCACGAGGCTCTCCAGACCGCCGACACGTGTCCCGCCGATGAATACGGCCGGAGCTTCGCCGGCGGCGGCGGACAAGTCGGTGTCGCTGCTGCTGCTGCTGCTGCTATCTTGTGCGGCGGCGGGGAGGGCGGCGATCTCGTCCTCCTGATCCAATTCAATGACGGTGGGGTGGACGCCGATGGTGGAGAGGAGGCGCTTCATGACGTGGCACATGCAGCACGACGGACGGCTGAAGATGATCACCGGGTTCTCCGATATCAGCCGCTGGATCCTCATCTCCGCGGACTCCGCCACGTCGATCGCCAGCGGTGAGGTGGTGCTAGACGTCAGCTCTAGCCGGACTCCTCCGTCTGCCGGCGAACCCCACCGACGGACGCCTTGCATCGTTGTTAGTAATTGAGATTTCGTAGAGTATAGTTTTAGAGAGAGAGAGAGAGAGTGAGAGTTGGAGATAGAGAGGAATTATGTCAACGGGGGCAAGTAGCTTTGAGACGTTTTGTGGGTTTTATAAGAAAAAAACACATACGGTATGATTTCGTTACATCACATACATATTACAGTTCCACCATATTTTTAACTGTGTAATATTGAAGTTACTGTCTAATATATTTGTTGTAAACATAATTTTTACTGTATTAGAAAGTAGTGTCAATTTTGTATTTTTTTTTTTTTTTTTTTTTTTGGGGGACCTCACAATAAATTAGAGGATAAGAGACTGATGGATGATTGGAACACTGACACTCACGCCACACCGTGAAATTTACCTATCTATTACGAGACACATCCTCTGAATTGTTTACTGATGCGAGTTTCACGATAGAAATTCATTTTCAAACGTCGAACGAAGTGATATTTATGAAAATTGTACGAGAGAGTGGCCTTAAAACAATAAGTATATATATAGTAGGGTATTCTTCAAAATTAAGTGAATGTATTTGTAAAATTTTAACAAAAATTATAGATAAATAAAAATTCAGTGAAGGCGGTCGTCTTTGTTAGTTCTTTAATAGATCCGTCCCTGCTCCTTGTTAGTTCTTTTAGTAGGTCCGTCCCTGCTCAAAGGAATCCCCGGTCCTCTATTGTCCTTCACACATATTGTGCATATCCAATGCACTAGTAAACTAATTGTAACACACTACATCATATGTAATATTCACTCAACTGTTCTACTCCTTACATTACATCACAATGAAATATGTTACATATGCAACCCTTGTGCAATAAAGATATAACACTTATACAATATATTTATATCGATAATGTGACGGCTATACAAATTAAATATATTACATGATGTAGCACTACGATATCATTAAATTGAGAATTTAATATATTTATGTTGTTGTTGTGTTATTGATTTAAAATTACTAATTTTAATAATTTATAACTTTTAGGATAGATTAAGAGTTATAATTTAATGATATTTATTTATATTTTCAAATAAAAGATTGCAGAATTTAGAAAAGATGAGATATATGTACATTTACTTTTGGATGAAGAAATTATTTTTATTATTTTAAAATTTAAAAATGGATTATTTTGATTGGATGGAGTATTTAGTAAACCGTTATTCCGGTACCTAATAATTTCTTCAGTTTATTAAATGACCCTGACGTCAGCTTTTAGAAGAATGATAATGACGTTTGCAAAGCAAATGCATCTCACGGTCATATAGAGGCGCGTGAGAAGCATTAAAACTCTCGTTACGTAATACGGTAGCTCGTAAATACTGGATACTTGCCGGGTGAGTGAGTGGCGTGGGTCGATCACATGGAGGGAGTGATGCTTATTAAATGACCGTGACGTCAGCTTGACTTCGACGTGGACCGGTCCGATGGCTGACGTGACCCCCAAAACTCTCTGGTAAGTGAAAAAGAAAGTGATAAATAAACCGACAGTGTCAGCTGACGTGTAGAGAACTCTTCGGTGGTCAAGTGGACCCCACATTTGGTGGTGACATAATCAACGCAAGTGAAAACAACTGAAAATTTTACACTTTCCTCGTCAGCAATGACGTTCAGCGACCGACACGTGGCGCTCTCTATTTTACCGCTTTCTTTTCCTTGAGGCGTGGAAGATGGTGGGCCATGGAGATAAAAATACATGGGCCATCACACATTTTTTTTTTTTTTGGGTTTTTTTTGCATGGACAGGCACCAAGTGAAGCAATTGGGCTTTTGTGGACAGTGGGCCCCACCATCATGGGGTTGGGAAGTCATGGAGTGGTTCACGGTGGACCGTTGATTGTGGTGATTGTGGTTGATGTGGTGTCTGCCACATGTTGATTAGAGACTAAAGATGTATAGGGGAGTATAGGGATTACATCAGCCATTGCCAATAGTGGGCCCACCAGTCCCTCTTCAAAATCTGTGGGCTCGTCCCACCCTCAACCTCCTCTTATTGGTCCAAAGTCAGAAAGAAAGAAATATCATAGAACTGTCACTATAATTACAACAATAATTTTAAAAAATAATAATACAAATGTCATATATAGTGATAAAATCTATTGGAATGGGGACGCGAATCCCCTCCACCAAAACGATGCTGTTTTAGTGCACAAGAATGCTTTATGCATTTTCCGGTGGACTACATGTTAAAGAGTAATATTTTCAAGAGAGTCCCTTCATAAGAAGGGTTATAAGTTGTTTATATTTAATTATTAAATTAAAATAATTTTTTGTGATTAGTAAAAATTTAAATAAATCATTTAATGTGTCTTTTAATTTATTGGATAAAATGAAAAGCTCGGGAGCTCTCTTAAGAGTAGGGATGGCATGGGATGGTTAAATAGTGTTGAAAAGGGTACGAAGGTTAGGATTAAAAACCCGCATAGTTATGAGGGGAGATGGAGAAAGATCACCCCTCCCCATAACTAATTTTTTGGGAATCTAACTTTTTAAGAAATATTTTTTTATTTTTATTTTTAATTATTATTATTTTTTTGTATTGGTAGTGAATGAAGTATCAAATCTATCCATCGCGGTCACAAGGATGTGATGATTTACTTTTCTATAAGCTCAATAAAAAAAGGTTAATTGGTAATATTAAATAAATAAATTGTACTTTGACTTTTCAATTGAGACATTTATTTTGGGAAAGCAAAAAAATGAAAAAAATGGACATTTATTTGGGTTACTATGGAGTAATATTTTTGGGCACAACACACATCGGATCGTGCACACAAGGATATTTTGTTCCCTCAAATATGTGTCAACTTGAGCAACGATCTGAAAAACGAAATTATATAGTCGAACGAAAAACCGATTGCTCCCATTCACTTAATAATTGAGGCCTTTCTTACGTATAATTTCGGTTATCAAATCATTTTTTTTAAAAGATTGTGTCATTGTGTTTTGAAAATCAAATTGATATATTCAATCAATTTGTATAGTCAAAAAAAAAAAAAAAAAAAAAAAAAAAAAGAACCACCATTGATTGTGCAAAAATCATACTCAAAATTGAACATTCATAAAGATTTAAATCTCAACAAGTTTATGCACCTCCTCTGCTTTACCTTAGTCAAGAAGAGACTTGTATTGACTTAAAATTCATTTCTCCATGTGGGAGACAAAAACTTATGTAACAACTTTATCTTTTGACTTGTTTCATTTGATTAATGGTTGTTCTTTGGATCAAGCGTGATAGTGGCACTCGTGGTTACCATGCACATGGTCAATTCTAAGCATTAAATCATTATCACAATGAGGACTCTACTGTCAAACTTGCCCAAGACCTTTAACATTAATAGAGTTATTATGACCCATTTCTCAAAAATTCATATAATCCAACATTAGGTGGTAATAATGGAAGATGCTAAAACAATTCCAACCAACAATTATGCTCTATCTTATCTCTACCTCGCGATTGATGGATTAGTGGTTAAGAAATTAAGCGTGTTGTTTCGATTCAATGACTCACAATGTAAATTCACACACACACACACACACGTGTGTGTGTGTATGTATATATATAGTATTTTTTTTAATTAGTGGTTAGAAACACATCACTTGTTCTACCATATTTGAGATTTAGACGTTGTATTTCCCATCAATGGAAAACATTTAGACGATGTTTTTCCCACCAATAGAAAACAAATTTGTTGGAGTATAATGGTGGTCTATCTTTGTGTTGTTTGGTTTAGTGGAAAAAAATAAATGGAATGATGGAAGTGGGTATAATTGGGTATTACATGAATAACAAATATATTGTATGATAGTTAATTTTTGTTTTTTTTTTTTTTTTTTAATATTTTATGCAAGGCGTAAAAAGCAAAGAAAATGCTTTTTTACCATTTTACCACACTTTTGGACAAAAAAAACTTTTTTTTTTTTTTTTTTTTTTTTTTTTTTTTTTTTTTTTACCATGCAAGAAAAGGATATATTAAGATTATGGATAAATTACACTTGACTTTCTTTAAGATTTGAGCAAATTACGCATGGGTAGGCTGTTGAACTCCTCTAAACTCATTCATCAGTTGCCAAAAGATGACTTTAAGTATGAAAAGTCAGTTATGCTCTTATTATATAATAATATGTTATATTGCAAATATTTGTTAATATAAAATTTTATGTGACTCGAGTGCAATTTGCCAAAACCTCGAGAGAGGTTTTGTGTAATTTAACCTATTGTCTTTTCATACAAAGGAAGGTAAAATTATTATTTTATAAAATTTGGTCAACAAGCCTGTTAAAAAAAAAAACATAAGGGGGTGTTATTGAGCACACACCCTAAAAATGATCACGTTAGACCATTTTCAATGCAAAATGCCATTTTTACATGCTAAATCTATATTTTGAGAGGAACTATAGTGTCAAAATGTTATATTTTAACAATTCTGCTCTAACGGTGTATTTCATCCAAAATGCTATTTTTTTGATACAATTATCATTTTTTTTTTTAACTACCATTCCCAACTACCAATTTTCAACAACCATTTTTTTTTTTGTGAGTGTTTGTATTTTATTTAGTTTATTTGCCTTATTAAAAATAAATAAATAAAATATCATCAAATCCAACTAAGTCTTGAAATTTAGACAACTTTTGGATTAATAGACACACACACATATAAAAACACAGACATAGATATACACACATATATACCAACACTGACATATATATATATACACAAGCACAAAACCAAACTACAAAATCTACAAGAATTAGAAGTTCAAAACCCATATATTTCAGTTTGGCAGAAACAAAAGTAATAGCTATAGTGCTATATTTGGCACAAGATTTGGTAAAGGTATATTTTGGCAATTCATTTAAGAGCCCATTGAAGAGTCCATGTTAAATTCACCTACTATATTTTGAAATTGGCAGCTCATTTGATGGCTCATTGGAATTGCACTTAGAGGTGTTTTTCCATTAGCATGCAATTCACTTTAGTCTTTTTACATTTTAATTTTTCACTTGTATGCAAAAACAAGTAAATCTTATTTCAATTTTTTTTTTCTCTTCAAAGTAAATTAGACCTAAGTTACATCTTTTAAGTAA